CTTAAATAACAGGCCAACCAGAGATAATTAGAATAGGCCAAAAAGCACTAACTAAGGAGAGAGCCCAGCTAGCAACTGGAAGCATATGCAAAGCAAAAGCATACAGCACATTAGAAGATTTTCAGGTGAGACCCAAGGATTCCAGCCAACGATTTGCTTAAAGAATTGCACCTTGCCTTTATGCACCACATGGAGAGATGCAGGGTACAGTATACTGTAAGGAAGATTGCGATCTTGTAAACTATTGCTTTACACTTTGAAAGGCAGCCCACTGTTTTTGTGTAGCAGGCGAAAAATCTGGAAAAATGGTGATAAGATTGTCATTGAAGATCAACCCGGGCATGGTCACATTATAGGATGGCTTCTTTATCTTTAAAATATAGAAATCTAGCCAGCAGAGATCTCGGATGACTGCCTGGTTACAGAGCTCTTAGAGGGACTTTTTCAATGGCAAACAGAGCAAAGAAGCTGCTTAATGGTAGACATGACCTGAGACAAGTCAGCTCCATTACTTGAGTTGCTGTGTCTGCTGTTCTGAGATTTGCAGATTGCAATGCATCTTTTGTGCCCCACAGTAGAATCGGGTGAGTCCAGCCAGTCCGCAATGCCCTTGGCCGAGGTGGAATCATCATCCCCAGAGGAAAGAGAGGAGGGCTGTGTTTTCCAGGCGCCATCTTGGCTAGCTGCATGGGAGAAGTGAGCCAATCTCTTATTGGGTGTCTGAAGGAGCTCATTCCCAATTTTCACCATCGGGACTCCCAGGTTCCCAAGAGGAATAAGTTCGGCAGCAAAAAACTCCCATGGCTGAGCAGCACCAGAAAGGAGAAAACTGCTCACTAAGGTGTTTTTCTAAGCTCTGATCAATCTGCACTGGTGGAGGAGATGCTTAGAAAAGCCATTTAAGTCATAATGACACATTGGCTTTATGACCAGCTTGGTCAAAAGCCGATTAACCTTCTTGTATGATTCTGGGTGGAAACTGAAGCGCATCTATGGAAAAGAAAGGAGAATCTTTAAACTTCATGTAAGTAGCAAACCCTACTGAGAATCAGGAAAATATCACAACACTAACTACATTACCATCAAGCTGACAAGTAAAAAAAAAAGATTACCAGTCCCACCAGCAGTGACCCCAATTCCCAACCAACACAGATGTGTATTTATACCCAGGGGCGTATTTACCACAAGGCAAACAAGGCATTTGCCTAGGGTGGCATTTTTTCAGGGAGGCAGCCATTTTTTTCAGGGGGGCAGTGCTGCCCCCAAAAAAGGGATGGAAGAAAGGACACACGCAGCATGGGGACCAGGTGGTATCTGAGAGAGACTGCAGACTGCTTGATGGTGTATGCAGAGCCTGACTCTTGTTCCTGGGGATGTCAGGAGCTGTGAAGGTAAGTGTCTTCTCTCTCACTAGGATGAGGGGGGGGGGGGTTTGCCAATATGTATGGGGCATTGGTAGTGGAAGGCCCTCTCTGGTGGGGGGGGGGGGGGGGCTTGGGGTGTTGTTGTCCATGTCAGGCTCTTATCGTGGGGGAGGGGGTGTTTGTCAGTGTCAGGGTCTCTCCATGGGGGGAGGGGTGATTTTTGTGTTGCCTAGGGCAGCATGAAAACCAAATTTTCCACTGTTTATACCCACTTGGCTGCCTATGCTCTTTCAAATATAGTTTTTGGGGGCATTTGGCAGCTGATGAATACACCTGCCAAGCATCCCATTTTGGTGTCAATGTTTACCTGAGTAAAATAATAAACTGAACTGTCAATTATATAAACTACAGATAAACTTGGCTCTACCTTAATTGATCCAAAGCATTTACAGTAAGCCTGTGTGCATATCTCCCAACGCTCTTAATTGAAAAAGAGAGATGCCTTTCAGGAATAAGTATAAAATATTATGCAAAAAATTATTGGTTAAACCTACATGTACTATTTTTTCCACTCATATGTTTCCATTTTATTGCTTTTTCAATATAGAAAATGCAGTTATTTAACAACTGGATGAAAGGTTTAGTGAAGTATACCACTTTTGGCATGTAAATATTACATTTTTTAAAAAAGGTCTTCACATATTTCCAACACAGAGGCACAAGAGAGCAGAGGGATTTGGTTCCAAAAGATGGACATATCCTCCATATAAGGGACAATTAGGAGCTATGCGTATAACTGCGGTATAGACATTAACCTAGTAGGGCCAATCAGAATGGTGAAAATGTTCTCTGTAAAGTGTTGTATATTATATCAGTGCTATATAACTATGAAATCAATAAATATATCTCTGTGTGGATTCTACACACCACTGATAAGAATGATATCACTTTGTCATCTTCTTTCATACTATCTTCAAACATTCTTTCATAGGGAAATAAGCATAGGAATGTTCCAGAGCCCTATTATCCATTTGATTTGTGGTTTTCATTATTTTTAATTCTAGCATATCTAGAAGTGTTTCATGTACACACATAATTTTGTATAAAAGCACCTATCTATCATTTTAAATGGTTCAAAAAATGAAGGAACTCTTTGTCAGTACACATTAACATTGACATATAACATGAATCGTACACCATGTAAAAACCTTCGTTATAAACCACACTTATGCAATATATTCTAAAAACACTGCATATTAACTGTGAGCAGCATACATTTCAAAGGCCTGGGGAGTGTAACGTCAAGCTGTAGCACACTAATCTCAGCTTTTTATACACACATATATACAAATTTCCTGTGGGAATACACTCATGTGAAAAAACAGAAAGCATAGGTTTTTTTTTACTCCAAGAAAAGTTTTGACATGTCATTTTTCTTCTTCTTGCGAAATGGCAGAGCTCGTTGAGGGGAAACAGCTAGGTAAACATTGGCACAAAGAGTCATTTCCAAAGAAGGCAGGTAACTGAGGAGTTGAAAGATAGGAGTGGTCACTGGGAGTGTCTGTTCAGGGAAGGGAAGAGGCACAATGAGAGAAACATGTGATGAAAGGTCTCGTAACAATACCTGTTCTAATGTATGTAATTTCATTAGAAATGTCTCCATCAAACTCTTAGATGATTGAAAACACTCCCCAGGACAGTAACAGTGGATGTTATAATACATTGGTGGGTCCAGGGCAGACATCTCATGAATCCTCATCCAGGGGACATTTCCCATTTTACATTTCCCAGCTTTGATGAACTACAAGTCCTAACATGTGCACTGGGACTTGATGACGTGTCTTCCTAGTATAGGATGCTAAGTACATTTAGTTTTTGGCTTGCTCTGCAGTCAGAAGACCAGCAATCATTTTCCTTGGTCTGCTCATGGTTTCACAGATTAGGAGTTTGATTTTTTCCAGTGTCTCTGGGAGAAGCTTCTAGAGCTTAGGGCAGGAAATTCAAATGACTGGCCTAAATACTTACTATGCACTGGCCAGTCCCTGAGAAGGTGTGTCCAGAAGGTGGTAGGAGAGGTGGTAAGTAGTCTGAAGACTAGAGGAGATTGTCTTTCCCCCACCAGGGATGAATCTGTGAGCTTTAGGAGGTTTCTTGCTCTTGAAACACCTCTGGACTGAATGCTGGACCTCTCTTTCAAGGAATCGAGTCTGAGGATGTTGCTGTTCTAGGACTTGTGAATACAGACCCTAAATGACTCCCTAAAATGGAGTAATCAGAGAGACCTGTCTCATGGTTTCTAGCTATGAGACTTTATTATCTTGGAGCTATCTCATTGTTCCCAGCTATGAGAAAATAGACTGTTCTGTACACCACCTTATGGTTCCCAGCTGTGAGCGCTAGACTATACTATCTTTACCAAGAGAAGAGTGTCCTCTGCCAACTGCAGAACTCCTTACTAACCAACCCCAGATCTTGGTGACCACTTTTAGAGACTTTAATGTAGGACCCAACATACTTCATGCAAAAGCTGTGAGAGGGGGAAAACTACATCACGTCTCAGTTTGAATGGAGGTTCCAGAAAGCTTGCACATATGCCAGGTCTAATGATCAGGATGAGAAAGAATTGTAGTTAAAAAAACACTGAACCAACATTATATAATGTAAATGCTTTTCCTGACTACCCAAACCTTAAACACTTGGGTTAATGATGCCTAACCTGGCTCGGTGGGTCTGGGGAAACTGTCCCTTTTTGTCCACATAGTACAGCAAAGGGTCACTTTGTATGTTAACGGCTTTAACCTACAGAGTGACCCTGTGATGACAGGGTCACTTTAAAGAAACCCTAAGTGCAACTCAATATTTCAATTGGCCACAGAAGTGTAAAGGTGTTTTTCCAGTCTTTTAAAATGTAATAAGACAATTACTTTTCTAAGCCCTGTCTCTGCAATGACAATTAAAGTAAATTGGGCAAGCGAAAGGGAGCAGGGAGTTTCTAGCCAGAGATGTGCAAACTAGAGACACAACAAGAGGGGGAAACAGAGGAACATACCAGAGGCACAAAATAAACAAGCTGTTGTGGCTGCACTCTCCCTACCTAATGTCAGTCTATACCACTATTAAATAATATAATGCATTACATGCAACATCAATAAAACACAAAATTATGTGGGGCACAAAAATGTGAATGCAGTTTTAAATGCTGTTTGCAAAGTTCTTTAAATATGCAGCTTGTTTAAAGAGAATACACAGTGATTCACCCATGAGGGTCCTTGTTTAGATGCTTCTGTTATGGGGGTACAACTCTCCCAACTGTGCCCTTGTACTTTCACCTCATCACATGCACAGTGGCCTCGCTATGGGGGTGCGGACCACACCCGGGTGACACCTACCAGAGGGGAGACCACTAACACCACACCAGTGACACTGATCCCCATCTCTGGCCAGCTGTCTGGGTTACCATCTCTGTCTCTGGTTGTCTTCCTGTTCCACATAGCAGAATGGACCGAAGCCACTTCCCCTCCTTGGCTGTTTACATGTACACAGGAAGAGGAGGAAGAGAGGGGAGGAGGGACACCGCCTCCCGCCCGCCATATAAGGAAATTATGGGTGGGCGGCGGCTCTCTCGTTCTCTCTATCTCATAGCCTCTATCATGTGATCAGTTGTGTCCAATCACAGCTGATTGCATGTAAATAGGAAATGCCGGTTATCGGCAGTCCTGCCCTCATGCTGACAGTGTGTGAGGAGAGGAGAGCCAGTAATCGACATTCCTCAGAGGGGACATGTACCCTGATGATCAGTGTACTGATCATCAGTGCCCTGGTGATTAGTGTAGCCCCATCAGTGCCACCTGTCAGTGCCCACAATTGCCACCTGTTAGTGCCCGTCAATTCCATATACCAGTGCCCATCAGTGCATATCAATGTCACATATCGGTGCACAGCAATGCCACATATCAGTGCCTATCAGAGCTGCCAGTCAGTGCCACCTATCAGTACCAGTCAGTGCCGCTTATCAGTGCCAGTCAGTGCTGCCTATCAGTGTACGTCAGTGCCGCCTATCAGTGCCGCCTATCACTGCCATATATGAGTACTGCCTTTCAGTGCCCATCAGTGATGCCAGTCAATGCCCATCAGTGTCTCCTCATCAGTGCCACCTTTCAGTGCCCATCACTGCAGTCTCATTAGCGCACATCAGTGAAGGAGCAAAATTACTTATTTACAAAATTTTATAACAGAAACTAAGAAAAAAACTTTTTTTTTTTACAAAATTTTCAATCTTTTTTAGTTTGTTTAGCAAAAAATAAAAACCCCAGTGGTGATTAAATACCACCAAAAGAAAGCTCTAGTTGTCTGAAAAAATGATAAAAATGTAGTTTTGGTACAGTGTTTAATGACCTTGCAAATGTCATTCATAGTGTGACAGTGCTGAAAGCTGAAAATTGACCTGGGCAGGAAGGGGGTGAAAGTGCCCAGTAGGCAAGTGGTTAATATATCATAGCTGGACAGAGGAGGGGGACAGATTGACCAGGAAGGGGGGAAAATTAAAAAAATGGAGGAGTGATTGTGGTGGTGGTGTGGAGGTTAAGAGACAGGGGCGGACTGACAACTCATGGGGCCCCAGTGTCCTTGCCCAAACTCAAAAAAGCCTATGAAAAAGGTACCAGGGGTATCTCATGGGGCCCCCTACTGACCCCGGGCCCTCGGCAGGGCCTGAGTTTCCAAATGGTCAGTCTGCCCCTGTTAAGAGGATATGTGCTGGGGGGTACCTTGGGAGGGAGAGGACCCATGTTAGAAGTAGAGGTTGGATTTGAAATCCGACCCCCCCACAAGAGCACAAGTCATCTGCCCTTCCAAAGCACCCCCCAGCACATTAGCCAACCCCCCACCTCCACCACCCCTACTAGCACAAGTGGAGAGGGGTGACTGTACTGAGGGAGGGGGGTCTATACTGATGTGGGGGGTCTGTACTGAGGAAGGGGGTCTATAATGAGGTAGGGGGGTCTGTACTGAGGGAGGGGGTCTATACTTAGTGGAGAGGGGGGACTGTACTGAGGGAGGAGGTGGGTCTGTAAAGAGGGAGGGGGGTCTATACTTAATGGAGAGGGGGAGTTTGTACTGAGGGAGGAGGTGGGTCTGTACAGAGGGAGGTAGGTCTATACTTAATGGAGAGGAGGGGTTTGTATTGAGGGAGGGGGGTCTGTACTGAGGGAGGGTCTATACTTAGTAGAGAGGGGAGTCTGTACTGAGGGAGGGGGATCTATACTTAGTGGAAAGGGGGGTCTGTACTGAGGGAGAGGGGTCTGTACTGAGGGAGAGGGGTCCAAACTTTTAGCACCTTTTGCTCAGGCATGGTCCACCATTGTCACTATCTGGAGGGCAGTCCAGAGCAGGGGCGGACTGACCATTTGGGAACTTGGGCAAAGCCCTAGGGCCGGGGGTCAGTAGGGGGCCCCATGAGATGCCCCTGGTACCTTTCATAGGCTTTTTTAGGTGTGGTTTGAATGTGGGTGAGGACACAGGGGCCCCATGATCCCCTATTGCCCGGGGGGCCCCATCCGTTTTCAGTCCACCCCTGGTCCAGAGCAACAATGTGCACCTGATTCTGTAGTAAGCACATGTAGACAAGAAGTGGCTGACAGAGCCAGAAAACAATCAGTAGCAGTGAGATGCAAAAAAGGAAGAAAGAAATGAAAATAGTATTTTATGGAAAGAAAAAAAATGGGGCAATTCTTTTATGATACACAGTGCTTTTGCAAATTAAATGTGTACAACAGGGAGCTTAGATCTTCAGTAAAGCATCATCTCCAAACCACAGGTCCAGTATTTCCTCTTGCACTGAGTAACAGGAATCTACATCTCCAGAAATTCTCAAAAGTTCTACAATGATGTGTTGTTAAGAGAATGTGATGTAGTATAGCATATGGTGATCAGAAGTGGTCTTAAAGATTAAATTCAGGCAACATGTAATATCCTTCATTGAGCTATTAATGTTATCCGGTTAACTGTGCTTAAGTCCATAAATTCCCTCAGTTTACCTGACTGAACCTGAGTTGTTTGTAATTCATTGCAGAACACACAGCTCCATAAAGGCTCAGTAGGAGGGCAGTAGGAATGTATCTCCCGAAGCCCTGGCTGTATCGTCATATCCATTTGCCTTCTGTATCAGCAATGATGTTAAAATTCCAAAACCAATTTGAAACTGTCTGACGGCTAAGAGAAACTTCTTATTACTCTTTTTTACATGTGACATAGTCTATTTGTGAAGCATCAAAAAGAGAGTTCCAGCAGATGTGATCCAGGATCGCAGACTGCAGGCAAAAGGGAATGGGTTAAACATGTACAGTACCGTTTTGCTTGGTGTCATGAGGTCATGCCTACAAAGACTTGCTAACAGGAGCAAGATCCTTGTTTGGGGGAGATATGAAGAAAGAGCCTTGTCTTTGGAAGGTAAAACAGGGCTGTGAAAGTAAACAAAGCCTACAATACCACCAGTCAGCACTAGATGGAGACTCAACCAAAATCTAGCTGACTGGACACAACCAGAGACAAATCTTGCACAGAGCCTGGTGCACTCTAAGGGTTGTGTAACAGCTAGATGATTCCCACACACTTCTAAGATTCCCCAAGCTGTCATGTAAGCTGGAATCCTTGGGCATTTTATCTTTCCCACTGAAACAACTGAGTACTGTCCATGATACTTTTTTATTTTCACTAACATACATTTTTTCAGGACAAGCTTTTGGGGTGTACCCCCTTCTTCAAGGTCCAAGCAATACTAATGTATTAGTACTGATTGGATCATGAAGAAGGGGGTACACCCCAAAAGCTTGTCCTGAAAAAGTGTCTGTTAGTGCAAATAAAAAGTATCATGGACAGTACTCAATTGTTTCTGTCACAAGTGTGCTAATACGATTACAATCACCTCAAGCAAGATGGAAGATCTTTCCCAATTTAATTATACCGATTGCAGTGAGTCCAAATATCACACGGCTACAGTGCATGGCCTTATATAACCATCCAGGCAGTCCCTAGGTGGTTCTATATGGTCTGGACATTTTGCATCTGCATTAAGCTCACAGTGCGTACTATCAGAAGGAATAACTCTTATGTTCCTATGGCTGATTTTGAAAGATGAAACATATTTCCTCTGATCTAAGAAACAAGTGGTGATTCTAGACACCCTGGAGCCTCAGATACCTAAAGAACACCTACACCTACATGCAGGCAGGCAGCACTGTAGTTGGGGAGGAGGTCAAGAGTAACATAGTTCCTCTATGGTTTCCAGGGTCACTAGGGAAGCTATCCCATTGGATGCTTGCACCCTATGTTAGGTCAGGCAGAGCCTTTTTAAGGCCCTGGCTCCCAGGTTTGATGTACAATTTTCTGCGTGTTGGTAGAGTAGGGACAGGTACCCTGCCTGATAGGGACAGAACCAGTGGCAGGGAAAGATTCCTGAGGGAAAGCGTAGGGCCCCCAACCATCCTTGACATTCTCCTGCTTAGGGACAAGATGGCCGGGCTGCTTTCTGCCCCTCTCAACATGCGCTGTCAGTCCAGCTGAATCCTACTCTCTACACACTGTTAGGACTTTGAGAGTTCTCGGCTGGCCTGTCTTCCCACCGGGCTGTTTGTGAACTGTCTTATTAATATTTCAGTGTAAGTTCTTTCACCTCACTGGGACTGTGTCATTACCACCACACCACGCTGCACCCCACCTACATACAGACTTTGAACAGCTGTGCTCCCTCTCAGAACCTCCTTGCCTTGTATTCTCATTTATTTATGGGATGCTATAGGTGGGGTAGGATGACCACTTCCACCCTATACTAGAGAGTGGCACTGAGACGTCAGTTGCACCCTGAATGAGGAAAGAAAAAACAGAGGGCGCACAGGCCTAGTGCATTACCATAAAAAATGTTTAATAAAAAATAAAGTAGGTGTTGTACTCACAAACGACAATATAGTCAAGGCACATCATAAAGAACAGCTGGGTCAACACTGCGCTGAGTAACAGTCCGCAATAGGGAGTATAGACATCCAAAAGGCTGACGCGTTTCGAGGACTTGCCTCTTCCTCAGAGTCAACTGACCAAATGTCTGCTCCCTCTTTTATATGCTCACAACTAGTTAAACCAAAGGTCACATGGGCCATCCTGGACACTCCCCTGTGCAGGTGGAGGAGTCACAGGGGCAATTGACATAGTGTAAGTAAACACGAAAGGTCTATAATGGATCTTCACTCTGGGTTCCCTCTCACCCACTGGGCTTAATGAAGATCTTGAGAAGGATCTTCACTCTGGGTTCCCTCTCACCCACTGGGCTTAATGAAGATCTTGAGTGGATCTTCACTCTGGGTTCCCTCTCACCCACTGGGCTTAATGGAGATCTTGAGGGATCTTCACTCTGGGTTTCCTCTCACCCACTGGGCTTAATGAAGATCTTGAGGGATCTTCACTCTGGGTTCCCTCTCACCCACTGGGCTTAATGAAGATCTTGAGGATCTTCACTCTGGGTTCCCTCTCACCCACTGGGCTTAATGAAGATCTTGAGATACATGGGGTTATCCACTGACCCCCCGTTATGCATAGGTACCTGTTACTCCGTACCTGCGGACTGTTACTCAACGCGGTGTTGACCCAGCTGTTCTTTATGATGTGCCTTGACTATATTGTTGTTTGTGAGTACAACACATACTTTATTTTTTATTAAACATTTTTTATGGTAATGCACTAGGCCTATGCGCCCTCTGTTTTTTCTTTCCTCATTCAGTATATTTGGATTTCCCCGGTCCATTTGAGGGCAGCAAGGTGTGCATGTTCCAGGACATTCCTTATGTGGTTGTAGCCTGCATCGAGTCCATCCCCAAGCGCAGGAGCATTTGTGTTTGTCAGTTGCACCCCGTCTTAGCTGTGGAAAATAATGTACACTCTAATGGATAAAGCCTTAAAGCGGAGTTCCACTCACCCTGTAAAAAATAAAAGTCAGCAGCTACAAAAACTGTAGCTGCTGACCTTTAAAAAACAGCCACTTACCTGTCCGACGATCCCGTGTTGTCCCCGCCACAGCCTGTTTCACCGGCCGTCCTGTATTCCAGGCACCGGCATCTTCAGTGTGGGCACCCGGCTGTGACAGCTTGCTGATTCACAGCCAGGTGCCCGCTGCACATGCGCGAGTAGCGCTGTGCTTCCTGAATGGCCCCGTCATCTTCTGGGACCTGTCGTGTCCCACAAGACTACGGGGAGGGAGGGTAGGAGGACAACTTTTGTTTCTGATCGCCTAGGTGATCGCAGTGGAAGTGGGAACAGGTACCTGTCAATTTTGGGTAACCTCTCCCCCCCCGCTCCCCAAAGGTGCCAATCCTTAATGGGGAGCAGGGGACCAATATTTAAGCGGAACTTCCCCTTTTTGGATGGAACCCCACTTTAATATCCGGCTTCACTGATGAAACAAATGTAAACATATATTTACATTGGTGCAGAGACCCAGTCTTGTACATCTGGTGGCTTTAGGCCACCTACACAGATAGCCCATTAGAGTGTATGTGCCGCAGCTCCATTGTGAATGGGACCTTAAAGCCCAATTCCATCCAAAGCTTTATTTTAGTTTAATTAACTTCTCATCAATCTAGAAAAAGAAAATAATTCTACATGAAACCTTTATAAATTGAATTCCTTTATTAAATAACAGAAGAGAAGTGAGGTGGTGGAAGGTTGGAGTGGCTGATCAGTGGAATAAAGAAAAA